TAGTACTTGCAATTAATTGACGTATATACATTCTCGGAGCGGTCTATTTTATTTCCCCATCGTTTATTATTATTAACATCCGTGTACATTCAATTATATGAATAACAAATATTAACTGAAATGTTTCATATTTTTCGTTGGCATCGTAATGAAAACGTAGCATCGACTGTTCATACAACCGATCAGCAAAGTAAAAATTCTCATTCAAGACATCATCGATTACAACTCTATCGTGGAAAGCAATCGCTTGAACGATTGTTTCATGTAGAACGACATCAGTCGGCTTCGCATGATGGAACGCAACAGGTAATAATAAGTAAATTATTCATCATTTGCAATTCTTCATTTTATTATTCTTATTTGTGTAAATATTTCTATTATTTGTTTCGTCGGCTAACAATCGTACTCAATAGTTAGCGTAAAAGGCCAATTATGCATTCTGCTTCTCAGAAAACTATCTGTGTTCATAAAAATCATTGTCACTTGACATTATGATAAAAATGTTTGATCTGCGTTTTACAATATTAAGATATATCTATTATGCTATTAGATATAACTGTCATGCGCATCCTACAGTGTATAAAAGGGTGTATATAAATTACTTTGATGTTTAAAACCTACAGATTACGATAAAGATCACTGAAAAAAAGTTCTTCTTGTTACAGGATTTTTTATCAAATATATGAATATGAATTTTCTGCTCTTTGATAAAGGGGTAAATATAAACTCCTACCTAAAAATATAGCAATCCATATCTAATTTATAAAATAACACTATTTAACAACACAAAGTTATATACAATTAATTATTGAAGTAATAGAAAAAAGTCTTGAGCGTGCGGCGTGTGGGTGTGCGTATGGGTGTTCTTATTTCTCTTTACACCCACAACCCACCCAAGACATTTTCTAAAATAACTTTTTTCTAATCACTCATCGTCATTCCCAGCTCATATCTACTCTTGTAATTAGTTGATAAGTACTTAACAATTATAGGTTACGTTCAAATTAATTAGACAGGTCGATAAATTCATTGATAGTCATTTGTTAAAAGTGATAATATATTGAATTGAAATACAGAGCATTTTTTAATTCAGATATTTAATTGATTTAAAAGATGCTGAATTGCAAAATTAGATTAAACAACTTTTTTAAAGGCATCCTTTCGCCAAAATAGATACTCCTGTATTAAGTTAGGCAATATTGATATATTTTAGATACGGATTGGTATATTTTTAGATATTGCATAAAATGCATGCCTTTGATGAATTATAGATTTCTATTCAACGATCAGAATGTTTGTTTTTTTTCGTAATGTAATATTTTTAAGCTAGAAGAAACAATTCGAAAGATTTCTAGACGGACATCGTTGTTTCTCATTCAATATTTTTGTAAATATTTTAACATGCTATCATCTTAGAGATAATTCTTATATAGAGAAATTTAAATTAATAATTGATTATGAACAATCGAGCTATTCTGTAGTTATTAAGAATAAAATAGTTACGATTATTCTTTGGTTTGATTAATGCTATCCTATTAAACTTATCGCTTTCTTGTAAGCACGTCTGAATATAAAAATTGGAAAATTTAATTATGGTCGCAATGGATGTTCCTACTTAATGTATCTATGATTGACAACTAAAGGACATTGTAATCGAGTTAACATAGAAAAATTTCACTCCGTTTAGACGCCCTCAATGGGGATGTATCGTAGTAAGAAAGAAAATTCTTGTTTTGTTATTAGTATGATTTCTTTCATATTCAAGTTTTTTTTCTTTCCTTGATGATTGTCTTTTCGTTTCTTTTTTTTTTACATCAATAGTTCTATGTGTGATTATGCTAAGTAAATATCTAGTCGTAAACATTTCAACCAAGACGAATCCAACTATTGTAATATGTAATTTGTTCATCGATATTTTTTGTTGTCATTATTTCTATTTATTCTCAATCTTTCTCATTTCCTCAATGTCACTATATGATAAACACGAGTAGATTGGATAGAATAACATGTTTCTACTATTATTATTGCGCATGATTCCATGGATAAGATGATCTATTGTAGTCGTTCTTGTCATAAAGTCGATTGGATTGCTCAATAAAGGAACACATTTATTTTCGTAAATAGCCCATTCAGCTCTTACATACATCATATTATTCCAATTATGACTATTACATTCCACTCCTTAATATTCTGATTCTCTTATATAGTATCAGTAAGTTAAGAATTTACATTCATTGTTGTTCTATAATTTCGACGACTAACAAAACACACGCCGTATCGCGATATTCGCACATTTGACTATTCTATTATATCTTACACAAATCTCTCTCTCTATATATATATACAATTCATCATCATACAACTGAATAACTACCCTTATTTTTCATTCGATATTACCGATTGAATTAAATCTTTTGCGATTGACATTTCTTTCCCGAACCACTTACTTATACGAATATATATATAGTTCAAATATCTATTTAAACAACAACAACAATGCTTGAACCAACCGGCGCATAAGAAAAGCGTTCCAAACCAGATTACAAGCAAGAAGAAAAAAAAACCAAAAAGAAAAACAAACTCGGGAAGACGAAGAAGAAGAATAAATGACAACAGACACAAACCGAGTGATGATTATTGAAAACCGAGAAGAAACGTCCCTTGCTCAAAAACAATAACAATAACCACAGCAAGAAATTGCACTTTATACATAAAATATATATCAAGTTACAAATCAATTCATCTTAGTTTAAATATAATGAATATCATTCTACATAAATAGCATCATGTTGCTCGGTCATCATCATCACCATGCTAAACGACAACATCAGAGAAAAGTAAGCGTTAAGGTATTTCTAGCAATGGAAGTTAATTGATTTTTATATAAAATAGGCATGCATTTAATGTAATATCTAAAAATATAGTAATCCATATCTGAAATATATCAATATTGCCTAACTTAATACAGGAGTATCTATTCCGGCGAAAAGATGCCTTTAAAAAAGTTGTTTAATCTTATTTTGTAATTCAGCATCTTTTAAATCAATTAAATATCTGAATTAAAAAATACTCTGTCTTTTAATTCAATACATTATCACTTTTAACCAATGACTATCAATGAATTTATCGATTTATCTAATTAATTTGAACGTAGTCTATAATTGTTAAGTACTTATCAATTAATTGAAAGAGTGGATATGAGCTGGGAATGACAATAAGTGATAAGAAAAAGTCAGTTTAAAAAATGTCTTGGGTGGGGTGTGGGTGTGAAGAGAGATAAGAACACTAATACCCGCACCTACACCCGCACCCACATCCACACGCCGGACCCTTAAGATTTTTTCTATTACTTTAATTATTTATTTGTATATAACTTTGTGTTGTTAAATAGTGTTATTTTATAAATTAGATATAAATTTATTTTAAAATTAGATATCGATTGCTATATTTTTAGGTATTGGCTTATATTTACCCCTATAAAATATATAGCGCTGGATAAATATATACGAAGTAAATGCTAAGAGTGATATCTTTGATTACCGAACACAATCGATCATGTTAGATACTTCTTTAGGGAGGGACAAAATATCGATTGAGTCCGTGTATCTTCTCCTAATGACTTTCGTCTTCCGTCAGTTTTATTCTTATTGTAATTATAGACTTCCTTACAATTCCATGTATTTTTCATAAAATCAGTTTAGAATAGTGGATGAAGTTAAAGATATATATAACGGAAATGAGCTTACATCAATTTATAATAGCTTTACTACATTCGTTGAAGTAGGTTGCTTGACTTCCTACAGGTAAATTGCTTTTCTTTCAAATTATTTTATTATAATATATGATTCCTAAACAATTAACAGAAAAAAACAATCTCAAAACTAAAACAATAGTAATATATTTAAACTAATTAAATAGCAAATGATTGTATCATAAAAATATTTATGTAACTGTTGAATTATACTCCACGATTCTTGCTGATGATAAATTATAGCCACCGGCTGTTTGATATTTATACTTATGTCTGTGTGTATACACTGACTTCTTCTTTTTTTATGTGCATGGTTGTCGCTCTGATCTTCGCTCTATCAGGCGGAAAATACAATTATCTAAATGCGCTATTCATGACAAAATTACTCGTAGAATATGTTGCTTTTTTTCTTCTTTTTTTAATACTCATATACAAGCGCCTATACAACTGATCTCTATGCGTTTATGCTTATCTCAATCCTTTTATACTTTCCCTTTTTCTTTTGCACTACATCAAATACAATCAATAGCCTACGGCCTAGTAAAATATCAATTATTGATTCATAAGATTTGTTTTTTCTTTTAAGTATAAAAAAAGAAGTAATATGAAACAAATAAAAATAAATTAAACGGATTATTTAATCATTGTTGACGACTGTTTTAATAGACTTGGTTAATTAATGTTGACTAAAGAAATATGTGTCCATCGATTTGTGTACGATTTTTATTTTTGTCATTTTCGACAACAACTCATAAAAACAATGAAATCGAGAGAAATAAGGAAAAAAAACTATTTTGTATGAAGAAAAGTCATACGGCAACACTAGTAACATGTCTACTGCTCAATGACTTGATCGTAAAATTAGATTATTTTTATAGTCAACATGATAACAATTTCCCATTTTGACTTCAAACCAAAACGACAGGAGAATCCAATTGACTATGCATCTGTCTACAAGTTTGATATATCACCATCTTATCCGTCGGTCGTCACCGTGGAGGACGACTCAACGTTGTCTCCCTCCTATCTTTTCCCTACGTTGTCTCTCTCTCTCTCTCTCTCTCTCTCTCTCGCTTATGCTTTTCTTCATTTTTTGCTGTGTATTGATCGTTGTCTCAACAGAATAATCATTGGGTGTAGGACGACAACGTCCCTCTTCGTGCCGAAAACAACAACTTGTGAGCTAGAGACTCAAGATATATAGAGCAGTAGAACAGGAATAGAAGTATGATTACCGTCGCCCATTGCAATGATTGCAACGAGGCTACATGCAAAGCGACTTTCGAGTTTAACACTCAATCGTCCAAGCTTAACCAGTATTCATAGTACGGCTATTCACCATACTAATCAACAGCAATGTAAGCGAAGCTGGCGACCTTCGGAGGATATTCGAAATGTCGATAGTGATAACAATGATGATGATACCGACGACTACAACAACAGAATGCATGAGAGCATTAAGGTAGAAAATATTTCCTTGACTCTTTTAATCAATAAGTAATAGTAGAAAAAATGCTACACTGCGGTTACTTTTAACAGTTTTATCTATCGATTTCCTTTTTTTTTGTGTAATATGCAAATGACAAATTATTGAATCTGCTAGATGGTTTTGACAGTATTATTTACATTTATTTTCTTTACACAAAAGCTCTGACCAAAAGCGTTCTATAATTGTAATATTCGCGTTTGTCTGCATAGTGTCACACCTCATATATTGGCAAAGACAGTTGTGTTATATATATATATGTAATAAACGTCGTTCGTAGAACCTGAATTGATGACAGATGGGTTACAGTCATCAATAGGAGACGTAAAAACCACTGAATGCAAGAAAAATAAGCAAATCGTGCTAATATGTATCGACGATCAACGAGAGAAAAGAGTTATAAAAAATGACGAGTAAAACACAAACACTTGTAGATTGTTTATCATATCAAAGTTCTTACATATTAGTATATATGTATATATATATATATGTTATCATGTGTTATTATTTTTCTATTCGAACGAACGATTAACATGCATGTACATAACCTTTTGCTCTATAAATAAAAAATAGTATTATAATATATTGCTTAAGAAACTTCTCTGATGATCCTAATGACTTCGAAACCACATAAATAAGCCTTGAGTAATAATAGAAGAATTTGAAAACGAATAAAAAATCTTATATATTCATTTCTAGAAAATATTGCAGCAGCGCGGATAAACGTATTTTGTCTTCAGCGTTTTTTCACGAACAACGCATAAAATGAAGCCATAAATAATCCAAACCAGGGATCATATGTTTCATATAAAAATAGACGTCAGGAATATTTTCAATCGAAAGCAAATTTGTCATGAATAATATTTATTTGGTCTACCGATTGTGTCACTTTATATCTACTTAATTAAATAGAGATCCAAATTACAGATATGTATGAATTTTTACCTCACGCCAGTAAATTAAAAGTTCGATATTGTTCTAAAGAAATCTTTTCGAGAACCGATATTGACGCAATTTTTAATCTTTTTTCGTACTTTTACTCCTATTTTCAGGTATTTAATGGATAATTAACACATTTTTTTGTCTTATCTCTCTTGATTTATGCTCTGACTGACATGATTTATAATATCATTTACTTAAAAGCACCGAGTATTTAACTATGATCCATAACCACGATCTAGACAACTTTTTTTCTTGTTGTACTGTGTTCGACTTCGACCATGCAGAGTTCTTATCAACATTTACTAAGAACACGCATGTAGCGGGGTGCTATTTTTTAAAAGCTGATTGATTAATTCTAGCTCAAATTTATCAATCGATCTTCTGATGCAGCACAAGCACAAATACGTTCAAGTCATAGTAGATATGAACGTATGCAAGCACCTATTTTATCGTTTGACGACGAAGGAGACATTCCAGTACCAGCAACTAAACATAAAAGTATGTATTAATTATTCTGATATAATTATGAGCTCCTATGACTTTTTTTTTATTATAGACATCCTTTCTCCTGATGGTACGCCTCTTCACGATTCACGAGATAATCTTTCAGTATCAAAATCAGGTGGCGATAGTGCATCAATTGAACAGACACGAAAAGAAAAATTTCGACAAGCGTTACGATCCGTATCAAAAGTTGCTTTTAGCCAATTAGGTTTAGGTATGTTAGTTTCAAACTTTCCAGACAGTAGTAAAACTTACGTAATAGAACGATATAACTAGTCTGAAGTGCTTTTGGAAACATAGTTAAATTCAGTATTATTAAGAAAATATCTCTCAATGTCTGTTTCAACTAATAAAGCTCAAAATTTGAATTTCAGTGCCGTTTCATTTATCAGAAAATCTACCTGAAAACGGCATGTATCATTGTGAACTGCACTTTGTTTTGTATATCTTCAATAGGAAATAAATTTATTTTAACTTTTTAGGTGGCCTTGTCCTTGGTTATGTTATACTTGGTGGATTAATTTTTGATGCAATTGAATCACGTTACGAATTAGAACGTTTACAAGAAAAAGAGCGCAATCGACAACATTTTGTTGATCAATTATATACTCATGCTTATAAAGAATTTAATCGTGTTTTAAATCAAACATTTGAACTTAAATACGCATTATGGCGTGGTGGTTTATCACGACACGATGAACGTAATGAGGGATGGCAACTCGACGTAGAAAAAGATTTATGGAAACGACTTGTTGATGATGAATTGTTGAAATATTTTGGTGCCGAAGAAAAAAACCAAGTCGGCGTTGAACAACAACAAGAACAAAATACTGTACAAGTTTGGACTTTTTCTAGTGCTATGCTTTATTCAGCAACAGTCATTACAACTATTGGATATGGAAATATAACACCGAAGACAACAGAAGGAAAAATTGCAACAATGGTAAACAACAATCATTTACATGTCAAACACAGTCTCCACTATAAATCAGTACAGTTATTTATTAACTGTGTCTGAAAATGTTCTTTAGATATAGAGAAGTTGGAAGTACTTGATAAATTCGTTGTATATCGTAAAAGATAAAAGACATTTTGAGAACGGGAACAATTTTATCTGATAAAAATTTTAATCAAGATTAATGTTTTTAAAGTAGTTGACTTGAATAGAATTTCGCCTTTATTTTCAGTTTATCTTTTGAAAAATGAAATTGTTTTTGTCTTCTTCTTCCATATTCATAGATATATGCTATGATTGGCATTCCGCTAATGTTTATGTGTTTAACCTATACGGGTGATTTATTAGCTGATGCATTTATTTCGGGTTACTCTAAAATGGTTAATTTTATTTGCCGACAAATTTGTCGCGGTCAATTGAAAAATTGTTTACCTGATGATACTCGTCGAAGTTTTGAACAACCTGATGTAAGAACTTATTCTTTGCAATTCGATATATTCTTCATAGTAACATTTGACTTTTTTCAGTCGGAATCCGAAGAAAGTCGTCATGTACCGATTGTAGCAACACTGGCTGTTCTTGCGCTCTATATTGCGATGGGTGCATTACTTTTTGCTCAATGGGAAAATTGGCATGTACTAGATGGAGCTTACTTTTGCTTTATAACGTTTACAACCATTGGTTTTGGTGATCTCGTACCAGGAAAAGGTACGGTAACAGAATCTAAAGCTGGTAAAGCAGCCATGTGTGCCCTATTTCTATTGTTTGGCATGATTGTTATGGCCATGTCATTTAAACTAATGCAGGATGAACTCATATCAAAATTTCGTCGATTTGGTCGACGTTTTGGTTTCATCAAACGAAATATGAATGATCCTGGATGAAATAGAATTGTGACAATTGAGAAATGAAAATTTATAATTTGTCTTCTAGGTGAATTTTTTGTCAATAGACTTCTTTTTCAACGTTTTTTTGCTCGTCTGTGATTTTCTATGCATGCTTTTCAGAATGTGTCGTTTTTGTGTTTGAAATAATGTCTTATTCTTTTTCTTCTACAACATTGAAAGTCAAACAGTGTCATTATCACCAATGCTTTCATATGTTCTTCTCCGTTTTTTTTCTCAAGTTTGTTTTCCTTTTTAATTGATATAGCCAGTAGAAATTTTTAGGCAGTTTGAAAAAAATATGTGCATAATACTATGAATTCTGCGTTTCATGTATATTTATTCAACAAGATGAATTTAATTTTAAATAATCGATGAAAAGAAAATTATAAAAGCTGGTCTATTCGTGTTCATTGATTCAAAGACTCGAGTGCAACGATTATATTAGTAGTCATGCATACAAAAAATCGGTCCACCATTATATTTTTATGTTTTGAGAAGCAGACTTTTAGCATAATGCACCAAAAAAAAGCAGTGGTCTTCTGTATGAAATCAATCCCACAGGCGAATTCTTCAAGGAATTGCGACAATTTCTATCTTACGGATTCAAAATAATGATCTTCTACATAAATCATTATGTCTTCGATTCTTGTCAACTGATTAAAGAGTATATAAAGAAATAAGTGGTGAGTAAACAAAAGATTTTCATTTCCTAGAGAATGATACGAAGAGTGTATCAAAGAAAAACATTTTCCGTTGTGTTGAAAGACTACGACGAAGAAATATTTTTGATTTCTAAAAGATTTATTCTTAATTTATTGCCTCGTATCAGCCGATATTTCTATTATTAACATCTAGTAAATGAAATACTTATTAGTAGACTAATAAAACAGAAATGTCTAAAAACGAATTTTTTTCCTATTAATCATCATTGTAATTGAAAGGTAAAACAAAAACAAAATCATCTAACTATTGCATCCATAGATATATTAGTTAACATACTGAATGTATCATATCACACCTTTCTATGGTAAAAAGACGATTGTACTATTCAAACTACAAGTTTTCTTTGATACTTGTATCAGATTTTTAATTATCACATATTAGATAATCAGGTCTTAAAAGAAATGATCATTAAATCCATGCATAAGAAAAGCAGTTTGCCACGCGATTCACTATTATATTAACTTTCTTGAGCAATTCTATTTGTCATAATTTGTAGCACAAGCAAGTTTTACAAGAGAATTTTTTTCGCATGATATGGATGTTATCTTTAAATATCCATGAAACTCAATTTTATACATTTACTTTTATTGAATTTATCGGTGAACTCTAATCATGAAAGAGCAATAGTATAAATTATTTTTTAATTAGTAATGACTATTGCTTTCTTTTATCAGAGGACGCTACAAGTCGGATTTACCTGATTGTAAATCGAAAATTCATTGAAAGGTTATCGAAAATAGCCTATCAAAACTTTATTTAAATGTCTTTTAAATTGTTGGTTGCTTTTTAAGATTCGATCAATTATTTTTCAATCGAGAGATTCTAGACAAATGACGTTTTTTTTATCACCTTTTCCTTTTTGCTATACATGTATATTTTATCTTTCTAGTGTTCTTAATTGATGAGGTACTAATAGCTTGACATATACATTTGTATATAGGTTCATCAAATTTCACTTTGATTACTATATTTTTATTCTTGTTATTTTTAGCTGTCTAGATTGACGTCGTTTACTTGAAGGCAATCATGCACTCAGCCGTTTATACAATCATCGACGATTCTTTTTTCTGTTTAGGATCGATTCGTATGTTTGCTTACCCCTTTCGCCTAACTCTATCTAACACCGATATACATAAAAGTTTCGGTTGACCTTTGAATGCGAAAGTATATGTACACGTGTATATTGAACATCAGCTTGATGTGACACAAAAGTATGGACTCTAACGAGAAAGAAAACGAGACGGAGAGCAAGAGCACCATTTCCTTTTTCTCTTCTGATGTTCTTATAGATGTTGATAAAAGAGAACACAAGAAAAACGAGAAAAAGAAACAAGAATATATATATATATATATCCGGCTTTCAAGCTTTTTTTTATTTGACACATATGGACAACGAGTAGTACACGAAGACAAGAAAAACAATTGTACGATTATATCTTTTTAATCTGATGATAAACTCTCAAAGATATGTTAGGGAAAAAAGTCAAGCTATAAACAAATATATATATATATGTATGCATTCTTTTCGTCTGATTGAAACATACCATCCTTGTCAATCCTTCATATCTTTTTCACTCATCAAAATCCCTGAGAGGTGCTGAACGATGAAAAAGTCCTTGTCTTGTCTCATTTTCTAGATATATAATGGGGACGAACCTTTATTCACATAAATGTACACCAGTGTCATGCATCATCAACAATCAACAGAACGAGGTATACATGCGTATGACAATGAAACTTTCGTTCCATTGTCACATAATGAATGAAATAGAATAGAAGCGAAATAATGAAAAGTAAGGCGGACAAGATGTTTAAGCGTGCTTACAAATCTGTCATACAGATCAGACAGGCAACAAGATATAGTAAACGAAGAAAATTACTTGTCTGTGTGCATGCTAGTCGTTTATGTATTTTTTCTTCTTTTCTCTTTTTTTCTCACTCGCTCGTTGTCGTTTAATGTCAAAATAGAAGAACATAGAATAGTGGATGGAGGTCGAATGATGATTTATGATGTACCATTGACCGTAGCCAGTCGTTACACATCATCATCGCCCTTGAAAAGAAAAGTGAGTACTCTCCATACGGCATTAGTCATGGCATCAAACGCCTGCTTGTGGATGTGTGTAGGCGCATATGTTTTTCTTTCGATCAACTCAAATTTCTTTCATGTAACTACACAAATATAAATGAAATTTTCGTTCTAGCTTATATGTATATGTATATGCGTATTTTATTTTCTTCTTCATCTATTCTATTCGAATCAGTTATATCCCTCTGTTGGTATAATAATAAATTGTCATTCTTTTCGTACGTAAGCATGTACACCTACGTACGTAAAGAAATCAATCGGGCACCAATCGATGATTTACATATCGATGGCGGAGTAAGTGTCCATTCAATTTTCTCTCTCTCTTCATATTACTAATAAATCGAATCGTCGTTGTCTATGATGGTACATATACACATTTATATATATATATATATTCGATCATACTCACAAGCAGATACTACATACAAAAAAAAAATCTAACCGAAGAAGAACATTAATGATGACGTTGATTTTTATCATAAATAGATGTATATAGTATAGTGAACACTTGCTATACATCTCTCATTGCTCTTTTGGTCATACAAGAAGAAGAGGAAAAAAGAATATAGGTCTCCGTTCCCTCTGTATGTATAGCCTACGTATAAATAAATTTGCATAAAGTTTCGTTGTCGCTCTTTCTCCCGTCTTATTCAGTACGGTTGATCATGATGATGATGATGATGATTACCATCATGATTGAGGTTGTGTTAGCATATTGAAATTATTATATATGAATAGCAGATTATAGATCCGCCCTTAATACTTTTCATCTTTTCAAATGAATCTATTTTATCCTTGAATAATATAGATGATGATATATCTATTGATTCGTCTTTTTTTCTTTTTTGTTTTTCATTTGTTCAGATGATGATCATTAAATGATGACATGATATATCATCATTAAAAACCATGTCAACTTTTCAACAAAATCAATTGAATGGATTTTCTCCAATACTTATATCGCCCTCATCCACAAGCAACACAACAATAACAAATAATCAAATACTGTTATTTGATAATAGTGATCAAGGTTCTGTCGATTCCGATTACACATCATTGGCCAGCTCAAAAGTTTATGGCAATGGTGGTTCAACATCATCGCTACATCATCAAGGACGTTCACAGTCATTTGATGAATTAGCATCAACAACAACAACAATACCAACACGACATTTTAATGGAACATTAAATGTAAATAAATCAAATAATGATCCATTACAATTTGTTAAAATTCATCCAAATCATGATTTAATTGAACGGGCTCAAGAACAATTAACATTATTAGAATCTCGAAAACGGTTACAAGAAAACTTTAAATTAAATATCAATCAAAATAATGATACTAACAATAATAATAATAATAATAATAATAACAAGTTAACTAATTTAAATGATGATGATGAAGCTAATTGGTCTAAGGTAATATTCAAAATTTTTCTCTTCTCAAATCATTTCATTTACATATTAACAAAAAATTTGTTTGTCCTTTTTCATTTTTTCCCTCCTTTTTGCTCATTTATACACGTCGAAGGACTTTCAAACTTTTGACAGTTTTCTTTAATTTGTCACAGTTAATTTCTTTCATTCAAAACGTTGACCTTCTCTTTCAAAAAAAAAGCTATTTCTTCACTTAGAAGCAAAAAAAGCCCAACTGAATGTTATTTATCTTTTATAATGATATAGAAAAAAAAATGTTAGAAATTTTTACGAGCTCATGTTTGTACGAAATCGACACCTAGAGACATTTATTATCACATCTTATCTTTTCTGTTGCATTTACATAGCCTCGGCTCCTTTTATTTCAATTCATTTTCATGTCACACATTTACACACGTTTATTTATTCGGATAGGAAAATATCTAAATATTTTACTTAATTGAATTTGCTTGCTTCGGTATCTACATATCAAACGGAAGGAAGCAATAGGTATTACCTAATTCACGGCGTTTGTATCTTGCGTCATCATGGCCATCACGTTCTTTCGTGCTTTTTTCTTTTTCTTTTGTCTTCGTTCTTTTTTCTCTTTTTCGTTTTTGGCAATCAACCAGTGAAAATAAGCTGTTTTGTTTGTAATTGAGATTAGCAGGCCTAGTGTATGCATGGAAGCCAACGTGAGATGATTCGTTGCTTTTATTAAAATCCATGTTTGAAAACAAAACTTTTTAATCGACAAGCAAAATAATACGACTCACAATAGTATTGGAGAAAAAAAACGAAGAACTCTTTCTTGTTTGCATCGTTTTATTGTTATCAAAAGACATTGCTCTTTCCGCTACGACGCCGTACTCCTTGTGATTAATGTTGTTGTTTAAACAGAAGAAGAAGAGGAGTATGTGTGAGAGAAAAGAAGAATGAAGCAAGTCGCTTGTTGGTTTCTTATTCGAGATTGAATCAAAGACGTGTGTTCGCATAACTCGATTACTCTCTCTTGCTGTCTAAACACAGTATAGAAAGAACAAGAAGAAGACGAAAAAGAAAAAGAGGTTACACTTTCTTCTTCTTCTTCTACTGCATTGCACACGGTGCACCTTGCTCAAATACAAAACAAAAAAAGCCGAAAATTGTAATGGTGCAAGTATAGACGACGAACGACGAAAAAGAAAAACGGAGATATACACATACAAACGAATGATTGCCTTACGGCATGCATTCAATTACATGATGATGACTATGGATCATGCTCATTCATTTTTCTCTGTCTAATCGAAATCAATTAAACATACAATTCAATTGGTATTAACTAATATGAAAGGTCCGACAACGACACGAAAACCTTCCACAGCTCCTACTACTAGCAGTAGTATTGCCGCCGCAGCAGCAGCAAGACGTCTAAAACAGAATGAAGTCTACGAGGATTACACTGAAGTACGTTAATGTACTCGATTAAATTTTTTTTCTTTTTTTTTCTTCATCGAAGTAATATTTAATCAGAACAAGTAGTTATATCTTGTTACTTCTGTTGTGCTTTAAGTTTTACATTGACCTGTTATCTTCGTTCTACGAAATCATAATTCTCTTGTTGCTAATAGTGAAACAAACTAGTGCAATAGAAATTCAATATTGATTTACCCGACTGTTCATCAATATTTTTGAATAGAAAATTGAATTTATATGACAAACGAAAGAAAAACAATTGATTTATTACCTTTTCAAGATTATTTTCTTTATCATATATTTTAGGCTGTTGAAAGTTGGCGTCAAAAACGAGAACAAAAACGAAAGCAAAGTACAAATTCAGCTCGTGTCGAAGATGATCCAACAATATCAAACAATGGGCCATCATCTCTTCCTAGTCCAATTAAAAAGTCTGATTAATTTTTTTACTATATTATATTATTTTTATTTTCATTTCTTATTGATAGATTTGATGAACCTCAAATTTTTTCTCCTACACCACCACCAACTATTGGTACACCACCGCCACCGCCACCGCCACCGCCACCACCACCCGCACCATTAACAATAACAGCAATAAATATTCCCAATCCAATACAACCAAAAAGTCCAACGCCTCCACGTCATAGAGTAAAATCAATAGATTTCTAGAAAAAAAGTTTTCTCTAAAAACTATTTTTAGGGTCCTGGAAGAATTCATGAACTATTTATTCAAAAACCAGTTGATATACGTGGCTTTGGTTTTAAACTTGACGGTGGTCCAGCACAGAATCGGCCGATTTATATATCAACACTTGAAGATGGTACAAACGAATAAATTATTGACATGTAAAAGAAATTTCGTTTTCTTTAATCTCGTTTCAGGTAGTCCTGCTGATAAAGCTGGATTATGTATTGATGATGAAATTGTATCAATGAATGATGAAAATATTCAAAATATGACCTTTGATCAAGTACGAAAAATTCTCAAAGAACGAAATTTACGTGGAAGTATTAAACTGATTGTAAAGACTTATGAAGGTTAGACAATACATTGTTGCTCTCTTGGATAAATCTAGTCTTATTTTTAATCCTTTCTTTATTAGATGTAGTCGATGATAATTCTCAAACAGTTACAATTCAACATAGTCGAACACCGTCACCACAAAAATCTATATCTAATTTACAATCCAATATATCAGTATCTCCTATTGCCACCACCGCCACCACCACCACCACCACCACCACAACAACAACAAGTACAATACTCGTCTCATCAACAGTACCATCCAATATTCGATCGTACCTGTTGTCTGTAAAAAAGAAAAGATGAAATCACTATGTAATATGATATGAAATAAACATGAGANTGATTTCGATTAGACAGAGAAAAATGAATGAGCATGATCCATAGTCATCATCATGTAATTGAATGCATGCCGTAAGGCAATCATTCGTTTGTATGTGTATATCTCCGTTTTTCTTTTTCGTCGCTCGTCGTCTATACTTGCACCATTACAATTTTCGGCTTTTTTTGTTTTGTATTTGAGCAAGGTGCACCGAAAACTAATGACACAGTAAGATTATTTTTTATCCTTAATTGAAACAAAAGAAACTATTTTTTGAGAAAAGAGCTGCTCACATTTTTCACACCCATTAGATGCATAACAATTGCTTAAGAAACAAAACAAAATGATTGTCTATAGATATATTTTTCACTTGTTTATTAATTAAAAAAATAAAATAAAATAAACAACGCATGCATGGCTATTGTTTTGTGTTGTTCAGAATCTCACTCACTCATCGCCAATTGAAGCCTTTCGAAAGATGCTGGATCCATCAAACAGCATTAGCAAAAACATGAAGAATGAGGTAGTCGAACATGTGTGATTATTTAAAAATAAAGATAAATTTACCTATTTAACTGCACGTCTTCTAATTCAACAACTCAAACAATTTTTATTATATATAAATATATTTATTGCACATAAAACATGTACACTAATCATCACTTGTGTTGTTTGGTGAATGACAGATGTTTTTTTGTTTGTTGCCTTTCAATTCTTGTGTTTTTTTGCCATTTGTTTCCATGACTAATAATTTTTGCGTCGTTTTTGTTTTTTTTTTCTCATAAAATATTCGAATATGATTGTATTGTTAATTTAATCGTTGTCTTACAAAATTAAAACATCACAGATGAGTAGTCATTTTGACAAAAGAAAAAAGAACATTTTCTAGACTCAACTCGGTAACTAATTGCATGTTTACCGAATTAGAATATCTTTTACGTATTGTTCTTCTTCTTCTTTAAGAAAAAAAACTACAGTGAAAAATTCGAATGTATTTAGAGTAGTTTAAAAGCCCATTAGATTATATCAGCTTGCTTATAGTTCTAGGTAGTTAATATAGATTGCTCCGAATAATGATAATATATATTTTTTCTTAGCAATTTCTAAAAAACGAATTTTATTAGCTCAACGATTTGCTTAGTAATAACCTTGAAATATATTTTAATAGAGTATTTATCTCCAAATGACTTTTACGATATACTAATGAATTATTCCATGCATGAATGACTACTTCTATTACTATTACTATTACTATTACTACTATTGCATCTTCTCTATCTCTTCTCATGTTTATTTCATATCATATTACATAGTGATTTCATCTTTTCTTTTTTACAGACAACAGGTACGATCGAACAACAATCAACAACTCGGGACGTAGTTAAAACACGTAAAATATCTTTTTTTCAATTATTCTTCTTATTTTATCTTTTATCTAAACATTTCTTTCTTTCAGTCCTTTCTAATCCAACATTAATTTCATCGAATCTTATCGATCCACCATCACCTTTAACAACCAATTTGAAATCACCACCACCACCATTAACATCCGTTGATACTTTATTACATGGAACATTAGATTTAAATATCAATGATCAACAATTTAATGATTCTCCTATTGCTCAAGTACGTTCATCAGTTGAAAAACAGATGAGTCAATTACAACAAGAACTTTTACACGGTTTTCCTCATAAACAAGCAGCACGAGTACGTATATATATATATGTGCGCATTGCTTTTTTTCTTCTATTGCTCTTTATGACGTAATAGGAATCACGACCAGTTAATATACCTATCGATTTAACGAATGCTGCATTACCTAATTCTACAATAAAAACGCCGCCATCGTCGTCCCTTTCTCCTTCTATTCAACAATCCGATTCAAATTTTAATCATACTCGTACTACTCGTACATATGGTTTAAAAGTTAGTCCACACGAAAATACAATTCATTGTTTAGATGCTCATAAGCAACCACAGTTATTAACAAATTATGAAAATCAATCTGTACAAGAAATATCATCAACTGGGCCGATGAATCGGCCATTGTTATCGCAGTTATCTGATCGATCAGTTAATGAATTAAGAGTTAATATATCTTCACCACCAGCATATCAACAACAACCACAGAAGACCACATCGATTCCAATAGATGAAAAACTACCACCACAACGTATAACAAGGTTAGCATTTTTCAAAAAATAATCGTAAATTAATCGTAAAAATTTCTCTAGTAAACAAATTCATACCACACTTAATCAAGTACCAAAAAAAAGTCATTATGAAGATCATTCATGGATTAATGAGGAACAAAAAAAATCAATTATTAGTTCATCTTCAGCAGAACCATTAACACCACTGTCATCACAGTTATCTTCATATAATGATGAAAAAAAAGGTAATACTCGTCAAACTACGCCACAAACTTCGTATCATCAAGAACTGCAAGTGAATAAACAAATATCAAGTCAATCAAGTGCTTTTAATTATGGTGATAGTACAGATGAATTTCATCATTATCAACATAATTCACGAACTAATCAACAACACCAACCTAGAGATTTTGATTTATCGAATAACCGAAACAATCGATCAAAACATTTAGCGTTCGTTTTAAGAAGATTTTAAAGAGTTTTTGACATTGAATTTGCTTTTGTTAGGAAATCACCCATTCGTACAACGATTAATAGTAATAATAATCGAGTTTTATCTGTTAGTGGTAAATTACGTTGCTCGAGATGCAACGATGAATTAGGTAAAAAATGGCAATGAGTTTGCTCTAATGTATTGTTTTCATTATTTGAATTTTAGGCCAAGGATCAGCAATGGTTATTGAATCACTTGGTTTATATTATCATATCGAATGTTTTCGATGTTTTGTTTGTAATATTCCATTATCATCATCATTTGAAGGAACCGATGTTCGTGTACGAAGTAATAGACTCCATTGTCAAAATTGTTTTTCAGATGAAAACGGTACGAATTTTTATTTTTCTCATCTTTATATAATTTAATAATCATCCGAGATTTCCTTAGGCGCTTGGAGATCAAATGTAAGAAGAAGATTTTGCTTCTCGTCTTTGTTGCATTTCGTCATTGTCAAAAAATTTCTTAACGCTTTATTAAATCACACTACAATGCATCAACTCTATTGCAATTTCATTGTGTACTGTTCTATTTGTGTGCGAGAGACAGCAGTCGTACAGCAAGGAAAATCCTTTTACAGTACACATGTTATTTGTAATTCAGTAAATGCACTTTTTTCTTCGTCACACATATCAAACTATATTACCCTTCGAATAAGTATTGAATTACTGCTTTTTCTCAAGAAGCTTTATTAGTTTCTAATTGTATATGGCGGCTCATGAGACAGTTTAAAATTACTTTGTATGAATGCATTTTTTTTGAGGGCATTCTATCCAATACTAAAATAGATTTTCGCATTATTCCCTGCATGTTTGAACTAATAGAATAACTTAATAAAAATAAACCTTTTGTTTATAAATTTGCTTTTCTATTGGTTTAGGTGTAAAATTAAGCGCTGTCTAATAAAATTTATTTCAAAAACCGTCCTTTCATGACTATATGCAATCAATCCATCATACCGCTTATTTCATATTCAATCTAATTCATACATGAACGAACATTCCACATCTATATGATATCGAACATGTGGTTTCTATTTCTTGTTCAATAAGAAGTATTGGCGAAAAAAAATTAACTTCCTTCTTCCAATTGAATTTTCTTTTTCTTAATCGTGTGATAAGTTCTGTATATGTTTTGAAAACAAAAAAATAAAGCATTCGGTGTATATTTATACATATAGATTGATTGGTGCTACTTTTTTTTCATTGTATAGTTGCTGTTTTTCTTCTTTTTGCTTTTCATTTTCATTTATTATAGAACTATGCGTATTTGCAGAGACGAACAGTTTGCTTCTTGTTTGTTGTTATTGTTGCTACTAAGCTTAATTGATTGATTTTTTTTTCTTCGCTTCTTATTTTCCGTTACATATATATCCTCAAAGAAAATGAAGAAATCGTCTATATTCTCGTATTTTTCAATAACATGGAGTTTAAAGTGACAATAAGCTAAAATCAAGAATATCTTTAAAGAACACAATCAAGGAAATAAATGAAATGAGACTGTTAACAATTGTTAAACGTTTCTTTAGATAATTTACGAAGTGCATCATATATAAATAAATGATCAACAAGCAGATTGACTATGAATATACATTTTAACATTCTATGTTCAATTCTGAAGGGTTCCTTTTCTTTATGCATTCGGGTGCTGATACATCTTCTTTTTAATAATTGCTTGCAGTTTTCACAATATGTATCATCTGGTAATATAATAGGAGTCGACAAACTCTTTTGATTCGTTTTCCTTCTTTTTTTCGATAACTTGATTGCAAAACTAGTTCCTATCGAATTCGAAAATTTTCTGTGCTATTTCTTAGGGAAAATTGGATATTTCAATTGAGTTGAATGCTAGTGTGCTTCAAAAGAAGCGTCTGAGAAGAATTTCCATGAGTTCAATCGCATCCTACTAGAAACTGCTCCAAACCCTAGTGTTGAAATTCCCTTAGATTCGGCCACCCGATATCATTAGATATTCACAGAAATCTAACTATCGGACCGTTTCTGATTCTTCAATCTGAAATCCCATCGAATGCCGTCTGCTGGTAGGATCTTACAAGATCGTATTTGAGTCATTTACTCGGGACCGACATCTATTGAAGATGTTTCTGATATCCTACAAACAAAATAATTCGAATGAAAAATCGATAGATCGTTTTGACAATGCGGATTGCCAAACGAAAACTATGTGATTATTATTCTATTGAATAATACTTATCGGGTACGCATCTAGTGTCGTTCAGTATTGCCGGCACTGATGCCAATTCCGAAAGAGGAGGGCGGTATGGGCAATGAAATACATGTTTCAAAAGAACCACCTGGGGAAAGAAAACGATATATCACAGCTCGCTCTGTCACTAATCTCTCAACAACTTGTGCCCGTGAAAAATTTGAAATCAGCTTAATTCATACACAAAAGGCTACTTCGCACGCGGGCATCAGTCTATTTGTGGTTTCAAAAAAAAGATAATTCTGTTCATACAGGGCCACATACATACTACTGATATCGATCAACACCTACTGAAGAACTTTAGAGAATGCAAAACAAAGGCAACCAATACGTTCAGAGGTGTAATGAATTATTCCATGAGATAAGATGTGAACCACTGGCTTATTTGCAGGGACGGCGCGAACAGGGAAAGGGGGGTTCGTGACGGTTCCCCTTTCCTACTTTAGAAATTTTGACTTCAGTTTTCCTCCAACTTGAAGAAGATAGAAGAGATTTTTCCTCCCAAATTAAAGATAATCTCTCACTAATTGAATAAAATTCAGCGGTATTTCCTGAGTAAAAAAGGAAGTTAATCTGAAACTTTGATTCGGAAAAATTTTAGTGTTCAGGCTTCATGAATTTTGGAAATATTTCTTGCAGTTTTCTGAAGATGGAAATGGGAAGTTTTTCCTCTGTTTCTATCCTAAAATATTTTCTAGTAAAAAAAAGACAACTGAGAACAATTATAAGAACAAATTAGTATATAAATTTTGTGTTTGTGATAATGTAAAATAACAAGTTCTTCTACTTCATTCATGCATAATTAGTTGCAGTAGGATTGATTAAGCAAACAAAAATGCGAATCAGCTCCTTTAGTACAGAATACTATACCCTAATCTACTCTTTTCAGACGAATCCCCAAGGAATCCGAGTCCCCGTCAATATTCGAACTTTTGAGGAGTCACTGTTATGAGTTCTCGGAAAGCTAAGAAAAAGATGAAAAAATTTCTATCAAAACTATCAGAAACCTAAGTAAAATACCCGAAAGCGTCTTCAAAAATTTCCGAGGGACTTCTAAAAACTGACTAGGAAGTAGGGGTGGGCCATTAACATTAATTTAATATTAATGTTAATGTTTCTCATTAACCATTAATATTAATGCTTAATGTTTTCTAAGAAAAACTTAATTCATTAATATTAATGTCAATGTTCTTGAATGATATTAGCGGTTAACGGAAACATTCACCATTAGTATGAATGGTAATGTTTTCGTTAATATTAGGGATTATATTTTCATTAATCATTAATATTAATGGTTAACGTTTTCATGAAAGCATTATAACTTTCCATATTAAGTAATCAACACTTTCGGAAAAAAAATTAGCTATTAAGATCAGTTAATTGATTAATAATTATAGATAATGTTTCCTTAGAGAAACCTAATTCAGTAATATGGAAAAATTAATGTTTTCATGAAAATATTAACATTAATATTAATGATTAATGAAAACATTAATTTTAAAATTAATGTTAATGTTTTTCGTTTTTCATTAATCATTAATATTAATGAATTAAGTTTTTCTTAGAAAACATTAACCATTAAGATTAATGGCTAATGGAAGCCATTAATTAATGTCATTAATTAATTTCCGTTAAAAAAATGGTCCACCCCTTGTAGGGAGTTCCTGTAGAAGACCCTATGGACTCCCTGTCCACTCACTGGGATTTCGAAGGGACTCCTCAGCCAGCTTTTAGAAATCAGTCAAAAGCTTTTGAAGACGTTTTTGGATTTTTTACATAGGTTTTTGATAGTTTCGATAGAATTTTTTTCATATTTTTCTTAATTCCCGGGTCTCATGACAGGGACTCCCTGGCGATTCTTCTGGGGAGAATTGAATAGGGATAGAAAAACATTTCGACAGGTTATCGATCAATTAATTACAGAATACAAACAACTTGTAATGTCTATGGATATAAATATTGAGTCTTTAACAGCATTATCTCCTGAATATATTCTGAGATTTACTACTACAGATGCTGATAATATAAGTAAAATGGTACAGATTAATGATAGTGTCTTATTGTACAGCGAAATACAATTATTCAAAGTAAGAGGGAAAGTGCAGGTTTGGAACCCCCAGCACCTCAGCACATTTTCTATAGTGAGATTTACTTCAGTGGTATGGAAATGAAACGGGAAAACTACCTTCATTTTCAATAGTAGAGGTGATTTTGTTTTTGAATTATTCACAGAATTTGAATGAGAACTATTTCAGAATAAAAAGGCCAGCAGAAAAAGAAAAACATCCTTCGAAAGTAACCGTATATCAAATTGCAAAATGATTTATCAAAAAGTTTGATCCTTCTTTTATTAGTGTGACAACTAATAATGAGCTCTGACTATTTTTCAGAAGTTTATCTTTCATTTTATCACCATTGCATTTGTGCAGCTTGTGCTTTCTCTCAGGTATGAAGAAAACATTGTACGAAATGCCATACTCCTTGGTAAAAAGAAACCTGCACATAATTTTATTAGCTTGAAAATCATCATTGAATTCGGATTATTTTCCAATTTTATTTTGTATTTCATGAAAAATCAATTATTAACACCTGGNGAGAGCTTTCATCTTAAAACTCGATGTAACGTATAGCGTTTTCGCTCCAATACTAGTGTTGAAATCGAATTTCTGTCATTGCTTGGCTGATACTTGATAGTTTCAAGCAGAATAATTCCTATGCGACTGAATATAAATATTATATGTGTTTTAAGCGCAAAATCTAATTCGATTTAATTATTTCTACAAATTTTGTTTTCGGTCAGATTTTCACCTCTGGTCCCCTTCAGGCTCATCTGAAAACAAAATATTTTATTCAAAACAACTATTTGATTTATTATTAATTGATCTACTTTATCTCAAACATCATTCCCAAAGTTTGGAAACTTTTCACATTGTCCACATGGCTTTTGGGGTAAGTTGGTTTTTCGTTATCCATGACGAGGACCAGGGGTGAAGATCTGACCGAAAACAAAATTTGTCGAAATAATTAAATCGAATTAGATTTTGTGCTTAAAACAAATATAATATTTATATTCAGTCGCATAGGAATTATTCTGTTTGAAACTATCAAGTATCAGCTAAGCAATGACAGAAAACCGATTCCAACACTAGTATTGGAGCGAAAACGTTTCACATTACAACGAGTTTTAATTCGAAAATAGTTTTATTAGAAAGAGCACATTCAATTAGGTATTCCGTAAGAAAATCTTTCTGGTAAACTTCGAAAAGCTACACTCTATAAAATTGAGCATAGCATTATTTCTAACTGCATGACGCAATCGGGGCGGTATTTAGCATTTATCGATAAAACAAAATTTGAATATCTAAGCCGTTCTTATATACTCTGATAAGCAAAAACATTCTGTATCGAAAGGGTCTATTTTCAACCAGTATAAAGCGAATATTCGTCGACCTTTGAGCCAATAGCTCTTTTTAAGTCTTCCCGAGAGTGCTTCAGATCTTTCTTACTACCCAATGAATTTTAAAATCTAAGATGATATTTGTAATCATGAAACTTAACTTTATCGAAATATAACTACTAGTACTAAAATTAGAATAAAACGTTTTTTCGATCCTTCAGGGGTAAGTACCCCAGACGTTAAAAATTGATTTTTCATAAAATGCACAGTAAACTCCTGG